TGTGTTCAAAAAAGAGCGCAGAAACATGCTGGAATAAGTTACAGTGCACATGAGTAAGAAAGAGAGAGAGGGAGATGCCCCTCTGTGCTATTTCACTACACCTCCTCTCATCCACCTTCCTGCAAGAACGAGATCCCCTATTCCCAATTCCTCTGCCTCTGCCGCATCCGCTCCCAAGATGGGGTGTTCCACTCCCAAACATCCCAAATGTCCTCTTATTTCAAGGACCGCAACATCCCCATTTCAGTGGTCGAAAATACGCTCTACCGCATCTCTTGCGTTTCCTGCACCTCAGCCCTCACACCCACTCCCCGCAACAAAAATAAAGACAGAATTCCCCTTGTCCTCACATATCACCCCACTAACCTCTGTATTCAATATATCATCCTCCGCCACTTCCGCCACCTGCAATCTGACCCCACTACAAAGGTATCATTCTCCGCCACTTCCGCCACCTGCAATCTGACCCCGCTATGAATATATTTCCCTCCCCACCCTTATCTGCTTTCTGGAGGGACCGCTCTCTCCGCGACTTCCTCATCCGCTCCACACTCCCCACTAGCCCCACCATGCCCGGCACCTTTCTCTGCAACCACAGGAAGTGCTACACCTGCCCCTACACCTCCAACCTCACCTCCATCCAAGGAACCAAAAAAATCTTCCAAATCAGACAGAAGTTCATCTGCACATCCGCCAATGTGGTCTATTCTATCCACTGTTCCCAATGAGGTCTACTCTACATTGGTGAGACCAAGCGGAGGCTCGGAGACAGCTTTGTAGAGCACCTGCGCTCTGTTTGCGACAAACGACAACACCTTCCAGTCGCAAATCACTTCAACTCCCCCTCCCACTCCCTGGACGACATGTCCATCCTGGGCCTTCTCCGGTGTCACAATGACTCCATCCAGTAACTGGAGAAGCAGCACCTCATAGTCTGCCTTGGGAGTCTACAACTCAATGGTCTTAATGTGGACTTTACCAGTTTCAAAATCTCCCACCCACGGTCTCAGCTCATGACCAACCCTCCCTCTCATCCCCACGTCCTTGACCTGTCCATCTTCTCTCCCACCTATTCGCTCCTCACACCTCACTGACCAATCCCCACCGCTCCCTACCTGCTCTTATCTATCACCATCCCAACTATCTTCCCCCGCCCCACCCCTTCTCATTCTATGTATTTCTGAGCTTCAATCCCCCTCCCCATTTCTGAAGAAGGGTCCTGACCCAAAACGTTAGCTTTCCTGCCTCTCTGATGCTGCCCTGGCCTGCTGTGTTCCTCCAGCTCCACATTGTGTTATCTTGTGGAGGTGTTAACTCTTTGTGGTCTGGTTTGAATGCACCTTTGTTTATTGGTTGCTAACTGTTGCCTTGTGCAATTTGTGTGTGTGGTTTGTTCCCTAGAGCTCAAGATCTGGGGATGCTTTGAAGTTAGTTTGCATTTTGGAAATGTACAATGATTTAAAAGCATGGTGTCCCTGTGTAAGTATGGGACATGTATGGTTAATGTGATGTCCGTTTAAGAAACACTCAGCGATTGTGCAAAGCAGAAGTCGATAACGAAATGTTGATTTTAAAAAGTTGTTTAGTGAAGATTGGCAAAGATTTAGCTTTTAGAATCGGTTCTGTATTGTGTTTGGACTTGGGTAAATTTTAATTTTAGAAATTACCATGTTTGGAATTTCATTTACTGGCCGGAAATGAACTTGCAAATATTGTTTTAACACGAGTGCATCTTTAACCCTGGATGATAAGATTTGTAAAGGTACTGTGATGTGAAAGTATGCAAATAACAGGAAATTTGGAATCATGGGAATGCAATTCTCTTTGAACAAAATTCTGATGCTATGTTCTAAAATCTAAGAAAGCTGATAGACAAATTAGAAAAGGCAAACTTAAGAGAGGAGTTGGTTCAATATTTATTAACCCAGTCTGCATGACAGGAGATAGATTGATACTTTCTTTAGAAATTTTAGGTCTATGTATTTTACCACTACTGGGCGAAATAATCTGTGGACAGAGAGCTGGAGAATTTTAAAAAAAACACAAATTATGAAAGTACTCAAGTGGGCTATGAAAGCAGAAAATAACCAAGGTAATAATAAGAAACTAGCAGCAGTTGTTACAGGGAAGACACACAGACTGGGAGCTTGTCTGAGACAGCACGTCTTGTGTGCAATGACGACAGGTATGTCATAGATCATAGAATCCCTACAGTGGGAACAGGCCCGTTGGCCCAACAAGCCCACACTGACCCTCAGAGAATCCCACCCAGACCCGTCCCCCTATAACCCATCTAATCTACACATCCCTGAACACTATGGGCAATATAGCATGGTCAATCCACCTAACCTGCACATCTTTGGACTGTGGGAGGAAACTGGAGCACCTGGAAATGCCATCCTCAGGATTAAAGGTCCTGGTAAAAATAATCCCAAACAAGGGGGCCTTGTAGCCCCAGTGGGACGGACCTCATGAGGTAATATTAACAGGTAACAGAAGCGCACTTATTAATGAAAATGGAATTAGTGAATGGATACATCCGACACAGCTAGGGGTTAATAGTGAGCTGTGGTTAATTCAAAAGGGGAACTTTTAGCAGGAGAGAGGACAGAAGGATGTCATTCTGACCAAGTAGCTGAACTAAAACACGTACTGCAGCCCTGCAGTTAGGTTGAGGACAAAGGGTTAACATCTACACACACAGTAGGTATGCCTTCAGTCCAGTCCATGACTACATGATGGAATGGGCAAAGCAAAGTTATGTTAGTTCGAGTGGTAATGTAATCCAGCATGATAATCCAGTCAAGGACCTGGTGGCAGCAGCTACTGGACCAAAGGAGGTAGCAGTAATGACAGTAAAAGCACACAGAAAGATTCAGACACCAGAACAGAGAGGGAATGATTATGTAGACAGTGCAGCAGAAGCACTGATAAAACAGGAAGTGATAACGATAGCAGTTGTGAGAAAGTAAGAAGCCAAAGGTAATGAAAGGAACATTTTAAATTTACAAGCAGCAGCTAGTTCAGAGGAAAAAGTGGAATGGATTAAAGAGAGGGCAGCATTAGGAGCAGATGATATTTGCAGAAAAGAAGGTAAAGTGGTAGCTCCCACTTTCTGCCAGCAGACCCTATGCAGTGTTTACCATGGATTAGCACGCATAGGGAGGGATAAAATAATACAGCTTATATCTAATTACTGGTGGTGGAAA